GATGGCTGAACACCTGCCTGCCCATGGGAAGGAGTGAATGAATTCCTTGTTTTGCTTTGCTTGCGTGCGCGGCTTTTGCCTTCCCTATTAAACTGTCTTTATCTCAACCCACGAGTTTTCTCACTTTTACCCTTCCGACTCTCTCCCCCATCCCACCCGGGGGAGAGTGAGCGAGTGGCTGGGTGGGCGTTAGCTGCCGGCTCGGGTTAAACCATGACATAAGGCTTGTGAGAAATATGCTGTACCTACCAGCCCTGTAAAGGTGTCCAGAACACCTGGGGCATCACAAAAGTCTCTGAAAACCAGAAGCCTCAGGAGGGGGAAGCGCTGTTTAACTGATTAACAACAGTTAATCCATACTAACAATGAAAAAGGGGGAAAAAAAATTAAAGACATTCTGCGGTGTATGGAATGCCTTTTTCTATTACTAAATTTAAACCCGCAGAGATAAAGGCAGTCTTGTTTTTCCAGAATAAGGATTGGATTTATTGCAGGGTTTTGGGATGCTAGTGCAAGTAAAATTGCATTAATAGCAGAGCATTTGGGAGGCTGTGGATATGTACATCTAACTGCTTAAGAGTAGGACATACTAATAAAGTTAAATTATCAAGGTGACTCCTTTGAATGTAGGCCAGAAGCTGTCCTGTTTATTTAAGAGCAGAGATGTTTTAGTTCCAATTTCAACTTCTGTAGAGCTTTTTTCCATGGGAGCCTGCTGCTCCTAAAGTAGTTAAGCAGAATGTTTGATTTACAGGCACTGACTCTGCCGTATTCTTTTTGGCAGTACCTACCTACTTCAGGCTCATATAAAGACTGCAGAGTAAACTATCCAGATCAGCAGAGACTGCTATATAGCTACATACATTTCCTGAGAGTGGTCACGGATTCTTTATTGTACAGTCTTAGATACATCTTCTGACCATGAAGTTTTCCTGCACCCACTGTTTTTTTAATTGAAGTTCTCTGATTTGGTTTAAGATTTCTTCTATTGCTTACAATTTACTACTAGACTGCTGATTAATCTACTCTATAAGCTGGAACAAAATCACCTAGAATGTCCCTCCTGTTATATATATCATGAAGAAGTTCCTGAGTCTGGTCATGGAAAAAGATGCCAATATGTAAGACAATGTACAGGTAACATGTACATGCAACAGTACTAAAAAAAATATTCAAATATAGCCAAAAACTTCAGTAATCATATTTAAGAACTCCTTTTCTTTTCTGACATTCAAAGTCCAGTGATTTGGTGCATATATGAGAACGATACTCACCAAATCATTGTCACAGACATATATACATCTATGTATTGATAACCACTGGACAGAGAATACTTGATAAAATGACAGAAATAAAGAGTTCTTCCAATGGATTTTTTCTACAACATCTGGAGGGATGGAAAAGAAATTCTTTCTTTTCTACCTTTCACTTTTATTCCAGATTTAGTGATATGCTTTACAGTTTTCAAACATTAATTCTGGTAATAATTGGAATAAGACTGAAAGCTAAGTATTCCCTTGTCTGAGATTTACAAATAGTAAAAGCCTCATCTCAGGTAGATTTATGGAAGCTTGCGAGTTATTTTATGGACCAGGGCAAGAAAAGGAGCATGCAACAAACATCCCCCACTACAACCATTTTACGCTATTTGCCCTGTAAGGAGATATACAAACATTCTTTGAGTGAATGTACTTTAAAGAGATGGTACCTGAGCTCTGAATGTTGGCAGATGGTCTTCTCCTCGCCTTGCAAAGTCTTTGTACCCAAACCCAGGATCTTCAATATAGCGGGAGACATCTGTAGAAACTATTTCATCATCAAATGCTGTGAATAAAACAGCAAAATGCTTTGCTTTAGGCAAGCACATGAGTTAGCATCGACTTCCAACTACCACTCTACTACAGGACTAGAGAACAATTTTAGACGTTGTGCAAAGGAAGAGAGCGGTATGAAGGAAAGAAACATTTCAACCCTAATCTGCTTGTATGGGATCCATCCCTTTCATTGAGCCAACTAAATGTCAGCCTACACCAGCCATCTAACGTACTTCTACAAAATGGGAAGAGATGGGCTAAACTTCTGTCTGAGGTTGTGCTTTTACCTCTGTTGACATCTGAGGAAGGCTAGGTATCTTAAATCAGGAAGATTAATCCTGTTAGTAAAGTCATTGTGTTAGGATAAGAAACAGAAAAATGTACCCTTGACAACAGGATTGCTATGCTGAGCAGGTATGGTGTCAGGAATTACACCAGCTCTGTTCTATAACCCAGAGTATGAGCAACCAGAAAGCAATGCAACACTCCACTTGTAAATATCAGTTGAAGATTATATGAAAGCAAAGAGCTCTACAGTACACCAGGCTGAAATTCTGCCAGAAGCTTTAGTAACTAAGCATCTTCAAAGAGCTCCAAAATGTGTCACTAAGCAAGCACAGGTTCTCTATCAGGAATCAATCTTTCCCTCCTGAATAAACAGGTGGCTTGATTGTGTAACTACCTCTGCAGAAGTTGACTACTGCACAGCTGACTGCATTTGACCCTGATGTTAAAATCCTGGCTCGCTTCCACAGGCATTGACAGAGCAGTTGCCATATGTCCACTGTTAGCACCTTGAAAAGTCAGTTAATCTAAGAATTGCAGAAGTGCTTTATCTCCTCTTTGTCTCGTTAAACAATCAAAACATAACTGCATAGGAAGAAGCTCGCACAGCATCTGCTACAGCAAACCCTTATCAAAGAATAAAAAACCTGCACATGTACATTCCTCTCCCCTGACAAGGACTCAATTTCACAAAAGGGTAAAGGCCCAACAAATACAGACTCCTCAACTCAAACCAGCAAAAGGCAAAGAGGGAGGAAAGTCAACAAAACTATCAGCAACCGCATCAAAAACCCCCTTCTGTCCCAAACAACCCCTCTTTCTTATATGTCTGAAGTTGCAGAGACTCATGGAATTCCTGATTTGATAATGAAACTGCAACGGGTGTCAGTTTTTCTGCACTGTTGATACTGTCTGACCAAAGAAAAATAGAGCAAGAATGGACAATGTCCGTTTCTTAAAATCCAGCCATAACGTTGCTGGATGTGTCTTCTTTCAGAGATTCTGCATGTTCCTAGTGAGCCATAAAACAACCTCTCTGCTGATCCACAATACATTCTTCCTCCCTTTTGGGCTCAGTGCACAAAAACTTAGATAACTTCAAACACGTTTGGTCTGAAGCTACTGAAATCTAAATTCACAAAGAACAGTGTCAGTAAAATGTGAAGCATTTTATGGGTCACTTCTTAAAAAGACACAAGCTGTCATCTTCAAGTAGCCTCTACTATGAGGAAATGGTTGGAGATTCTGATTGTCTTAATAGTATTCTTTCTTTGAACACTTTCTTTGGAAAAAAACCCCACCTTCCTGAATATAGGAAACAGATTTCATTGTATGGTTTGTTAGAGATGAAGGCCTCCAGAGCATATGAAGAATACTGGAAAAAAAAGCTTTCAGCTCAGAATTTTGAACATTATTTGAGAATAAAAAAAAAGCTAAGAATCTCTGTCACAACACAGGCAGTGGAACAGCACAGCAGTACGATCACTCAGAACGGTAAGTTAGAAATGTCCTTTCCAGGTGGGCAGTAAATGGTAAAGAAGTTCAGTCTCATCCCAATCTACTTCCTGAACTAAATGTCATATCTGAAGGCTACTTATGAGTGTCATGCAAGTTCTAAGCACTGTAGAACTTAAACCTGTGAAATATTACTGAATATTTACATGAATGAATTAATTTGAAGATATAGGGCATATAAAGAAAGAGAAGGTTACACCCAACTTTTTAAATAAGCCTAAAGGCTGGGTTTTTTAATACACAAAAGCTAAATTTCAAGTAGCAAAGAGGATGGTGTTATTTGCCAATCAAGAAATCTTAAGCAGATGAAGCAAGCGACAGGAACTTGCTACACTCCTACTAGACCAAGAGCCAGAATAAAGGAATGGACAGAAAAAGTTGTAGTCACTGAACTGGCCTCAAGTGTTTAGTCCTTACAAAGCACAAACAAAAGGGAACTGGAAAAGCACAAATACCTCCACTAATTACCAGCAGACTCTCCTTCTTCTCCTTTTCAAAGCGAGTTGCCATTTCTTCCTGAGAGGCTTCTTCGTCCTCTTTATCTTCTTGTAGCCTCTTCATCCTTTCCATTAAGGCCTCCAGCTCACTTAAAGAATCTGCAATCTGCAAAAACACCATGACATTCTGCAAAATTAGAAGATAGACAACGTGTGTCATCTTCAGATTTCATGCTCGACAACAAACGTTCTCAAAAACAGATAGCAGCAGCAAACACGAAAACTCATGCCAGAATGCATTTGGTCACATACAGTGCAGACAAACAGCTTTCAGACAGTGAGAAGAAGGGAGCTGGGAAGTGTTACTCTAACCTATCACAGTAACCTACTGCAGTGGGATTAACAGCAGAAGAGGTGGTGTTTGAATGTGGAAACCATAGTCACTTATAATATATATTCCACCAGGTATGTGGCTGAGGAAAAGCCATCTGTGTGCCCTATGTGTATCAGAAAACAGCTTTTAATATTAAAGTAACTTTTTTCAGTCTATTAGTAATGCAAAGTATGTTTCTGAAGACATACAGTGCAACGCTGCAATGCAGGAACACAACCTGAGACAGCAAATCAGTGTTTTCTTTTCTGTGATCAAAATAACCATTATGTTGACCCTTTTTCTTGCTTTTGTAAGGAAAACAGGCCTCATTACTAGAAACACATCAAAGTTTGGGATTCTGTGATCTGTACTTATCATTCAGATTTTTCGTATGATAAATTGTTTGGTTTTTCTTCTCCATCTTTTTGATTCTGTTCTTCTGCCCATAGCTGTAATTGTTTTCTAGTATGCTACTCACTGCTTAACAAGCAGCACAGATTCAGCAGCAGCCGTTTGCCCACTACAAACGGGGAATTAGATACCCCAGTGATTTGAGCTAGCACGTCTTACAGCCCAGAAATTTAATATACAGCAACTGAACTGACTGATCACATGTTCACATTGTATTGCTAATTTTTAAAAATATATCTAGTGACTCTGCTCATAATCCCAATCTTCCATCAAAGGCGATGAGGCCAATTCATCAATCAGTATTAATTCAAGGACGTGTCTTCAAAGTATTATAGAGCCACTTTCAGAAAAACATTTCCACATTTATGTTAATTAACTAGTCATCAAAGTTCCCTGTTGGTTGATTCAAGACTGGAACACCAGCGTGAAGAATTAAGTAATTTTATTTCAGATACTTCCTCCTATCTACATGGAAGTGTTTCAGAATTGACCTGTTTTCTGATTGTAGGCCTTGAAGTCAAAATTATTATTATTATGGCTTCTGTTTTTTTTCCCATTTCTTTTTTCATTCCACATGTTAGGAACATGGATGACACAATGCTGCAGTCCGCGACACGCTGTCTGAAGAAACTGGGACTTTAAGCTTTCAGCTGAAAGTGAAGTTTTAGTCTTGCCCAATGGGTTGTGAGATTAACTATCAAAATCACATTGCTCTGACTACCATCTGCCATTACAATGTGGCTTTCAATAGATTACACTGCAAACTGCTAGAGCTAACCTAAGAGTTACCAGACTCAAGCATTCCAGTAAAGTAGACAAAAACTTTCAAACTATGCTGAAATTTAAACAGGAAAGAATGGAAGAAAGTTTTCTAATGCAAAACAGAGGCAAGTAAAAGAATCTTCTTGCGACACTAACCCCAAAGTTGCTACTTGTGAGGGATGCATTTTCTATGTTGTTGTCATTGGCAAGATCACAGACACAGAAGTTGTTGACTGCTATAAGTCTGACTCCATTAGATGTATCCGGATCTCTCTCTGGATTAATGCCACTACCAAATACAAAACTTGCCAAGGCATGATAATGTGCCAACAGGACAACAGCATGCACCAGCTCAGGAAGAGACCAATTATTTTCCCCAGTCTTGACAAGTTTCTGAAATGAGAATAAAAGAAGTGTAAATACAAAATTTCTTTTGGCCCCCAACTTTTCTATAAAACACTTATGTATTTTAAAAGGGATCAAGTCCTTTCTTCCAACAATACCATATTCCTCTTGCACACAAACTCTCACTGGATAAAAAAAAGAGACAACTAATATATTACCTTTCTTTTGGGGTTATTTTAGCCAATGCTATTCCTAAAAAGTAAATCTTGTTGGCTTTGTCACGCAGAAGAATTCATTGGCTTATTCGATGCTCTAGTACTTCCCTAAATTTTTTAACTCAAGGTAATGAAGCCTAACCAGACACTTGCATAGTTCTTAGCAGTTCTCACTACCGGACATTTACTGCTACTACAGGGCACGACTTAACAGGTACCTGAATGTGCTCTTTTGTGATTAGCCAGGGCCGGTGTGCAAGGAGTTTGTTTATTTCGTTCAGATTTTTCAGTCTTTGGGGAATGTATTCTAAACCGTTCAACCACTCTGCAATCCCGCCAGTCTTCAAAAACTCATCAACGTGCATATTTATTAGATAGGAACACTGATGTCTGGCTGCAGCCTGGAATAATTAAACACAGAGGGAAAAGGGCAGCACATTAGTGTGTCATCTGATTTTGCTGCAGGTGGAAGACAGGTTACTAACACAAAACAAAAATACAATTTCATTCCAAAGGGCCATGTTTTATATTGCAATGCATCTCTATACAGTATGGAGGATTCTCCAATAAAAATACGTTTGATTACTTTACTCTGAATTGCAGAATCTAATTTAGTTTGGAAGAGATCTCTAGAGGAAATCTGGTCCAACCCCCTGCTCACAGTAGGGCTGACTTAGATCAGGTTGCTCGGAGCCTTGTTCAGACAAGATCTCCATCCTTGGAGATCACACAACCTCTCTTGGCCCCTGTTGCAGTAATGTCTCAACATCCTCATGGTAAAAACTGTTTTCCTTGCGTCCACCTGGAATTTGTTGTGACTTGAGTCCACTGCATCTCATCCTACTGCTGTGCACTGATGGTTAAATATCCAGAAATAAGGTTACGCAGTTTTAACTGCTCTCTGTAATACCTCACTCTCGTGGGCATGTGAGAAGTGTATCGCTGTGGGAAACAGGGAAACATGTACGTTGCCAATTCTCCCTTCTCATTGAAAACCTTCTGGCTAGGCATGATTTATTCTATGAAAATCAACTACGAAAATTCAGCCCCTGTCAAAATATCACACTAGTCTTTCCTTTCTAAAGTCTTCCTTTTTTCCTCTTTTTTAAATACACAACTCAAGGTTGCAGGAGAAAATATATAGCCTGTTGGTACATACCATTATAGCAATGTAGTGCCTATAGGGCAAAGGAAGGGGCCCGTCCATGCGCAGCATATAGAACTGGCTGCGGAGGAAAGACTCCAGGTACTGAGTATGGATACTCATGACCTGCGTGATGTTGTCCAGGCGACCAGACGTAGAGTATTCTTCCACAAGAAGATTAGTACGTTCATCCAAACCATTTGCTTGCATAACCTTAAAAATAAGATGGACAAACTTAACAGAAAAAGAGATTTTCTCTAGCTTTAGCCCTGGAGAGAAACATACTGCGCTATGAAAGATTTGCTTGCGTACAAACTTAAAGGCAATGCTGGAGATCTGGATGTATATTTGTAAATGTACATGCTTGCATGCATGCGAATATACACATACAGATGTTATTTGTATATTGAGAACTGAAGAGCACTTTACGCTGTACCTCTGTTATTTTAATACGTTTCTATGAAAACCAAAAACATTCTTCTGTAGATCTTTCCACAACGGCTAAACTCGCAGATGCTTAAAGTCAAATCTGTACAGAGAGCTGGAAGGAAGCAAGTGCTAAATGGAAAGTGAAGTCTTTATGAAAGTCAGCCTGTATAGACACACACCACCTGAGCATTCAGCCCTAAAACCAAATTCAGAATTAATGGAGAGGAACTGGGTTATGTAACCAAATTATAGAAACAGCCTGGCAATCTACCCCTTCTGTGCTTGTATAATTGAAGAGGAGATCAAATGCTAATTTGTCCATAACATTCAAGTATTATTTAGAATAGGAATTTAATGCTTTCTTTAAACAAAAGCTGTTCTTTAATTATTCCAACCAATCCAAACCTTGGGCACAAGATGAAATGAAACAGCAAAAGAGTAAGTAGCTCTTGCACTGCAAGCCCTGACACAGTATTAGTGCTATTACTCAGTGTTTATCACCAAGAACAGCCATTCTCAACATGTTCACCACTGAAGTTACAAGCACAAGACTAGAATACCCAGTATTTATTCTCCAATTGCACAGTATTCAACCAGCCAGCTTACTATTGCAAACACCATGAAATGAGAAAACATTTCAGCTGGTTTACTGCACATGAAAATAGAAAGTGCCTAAAACCAAGAAGACACAATGCTTTTGCTGAAATACTGTATTTAAAATACATTTTCCCTCTTTATGATGGGCTGATGAATGGACCATGTCTCAAATATTTTTCCATCAAATCTTATATAGAAGTTACATACAAAGAAACACGAACAACATACTACATTTTCACTTCTCACCACTGTACTTCCTTGTTTTAATTTGTGGGCCCAGAAAGAAAGGGAAGAAGCAGCTACGCGGTTAGGCAGCTCCATCATTTTTACATGTGTAGCTCTTCGCTATGACAGCTTTTCTGTGTTTTGTACCCAAAATGATGCCTCCTCAGTTTTCCTTAAGAATATTTTTACCATCGGAAATTTATTCACACATTAGAGATCATTTTATCCCACTTATTACGGTATATCCCTCACTCCACTCCAAGGAGTACCCCTTATTCTTCAGCAAGTGTATCTCCCATGTATTTAAGACATCTTTGTCTCATTTAGTAGTTTCTTGGGGAAATCATACTTTTCATGTCTCTGGTAAGGTTTCTAATCTTCTCCAGCTTGTCAGGAGTTTTCCTTGTAGCAGTACAAGTTATGGAGAAGAAATTCTGCTGACAAAATTGAAATATAGTCCTGTAGGACTGCACTGTTGCTATGTCAGGCATAGCAATATGAGGCATTATTGCTTCTGAGATTTATCTCCACCTATATTACTATCCTCTTCATACCGTATATGTACTTCCTCCTGATTTATTACCATCCACGGTTTCACAAACATGTTTTTTTATTCTGCTTGTAAAGTCTTATGGCACTTTAACAGGAACCTTTACAATTAAGTTGTTATTGCTCTGTCCATATTCCTTCCATTACGACAGTAAAGCAGGCTTTGACACGGGCAGTGTTATTATCCAGATTTGTGAGACATTCAGTGTGTTACTAATCTGTAACTACATCCTTCCTATCCACTGTATTATTTCATGCCAAGGAATGGGGGGAAAAAGGTAGTCGTTTGCTTAACAAACAATATTTAACATTTGTTTGTGATACTGAATAGCTGTTTTATCCATACAGGTGGAGGTTTGCTGCTTGTACTGGGTAACTGCTGGGGTTACTCCTTTCTGAGAGCTACTCAGTGATTCCTTCTCCACCCTTGGCTAGCGCCTGTACCAAGTGTATCAGCTGTGAAATAAATTCGTCAACAATTCTCTCAAAATATGTTATCATTTTAACTACACTTATTTTTCTACTTTTTATACAATTATTGACTTTATGAGAAAAATTAAGTCATTATGAAGTTTGGCATCTCAATTTCATCTCGTATTTCACACGAAAGGGAAGTCCTCTTCACAAGTTTGGCTGGCTGGAACTCATTCTGCTCTCCTCTTCCCAAGTCTGAAAGACTCTCTTTGATCTCTCTTCCTTTTTGCTTCATTATGTTTTCTTGTTGCCAGCCTTTACACTCTCTCTGTTTGTTTTTAGATTCAAATCTTGCCGGTGTATAAATGGAGAAAGACTCAGAGAACAGCAGCTATCTTGTCTTTCAAAATGTCTTTTTGGCCCTTCTAACGTGAATTATCTGCCTTTAGCAACTACTTAAAACAAAACAAAAAAAAGGTCTTGGTTTTATAGTTGGCCATCCCAAATAATTAATTGATCAATAAACAATACTCTGTGAAGATTGAGATCACAGGAGAACACCACCATAGCAAAGTTTCTACTTACTGCAGCAAACTGCAAATCAAGGCTTAAGTTGAACATTAAATCATGGGCAGAAATCTCGAGTTTGAAGTCAAACCATACCTTTCAACCATAAATTATCTCAAGAGCCACAGTTACGGTCTAAGGAGTTAGTCATATTTTCAGGTTCTCTCAAACTGTAGGTCAGACACTGCTTTGAGAGCTATATAGTCATACCGCTGCAATACTGGATAGGCATCCCCTTAGGCCTTGCATTAAGAGTAATAAGTGATCATCGCCCATGAGAAGAGCAGAGCCAGCGCTCACGGCTGTCTCCGGGAGTGCTGGCAACCAAAAAGATGTCAAACGGCACCACTTGTGTGAAAGGGCAGGGTGGTTCTTACCCACTGGAGCCTGCTCCAGAGAAACCACCGCTTTTGCTCACAAAGCTCATCTGGGTACCACTGGGCAAGCAGGATTGCCCCTTAGGTTTTGCCTTAAAAGTAAAAAATTAACATCGCCCGAGAAGAGCAGAGCCAGCGCTCACGGCTGGCTCCCGGCGCGCTGGCAACCAAAAAGATGTCACGGCACCACCAAAGGGCAGGGTGGTTCTTACCCACTGGAGCCTGCTCCAGAGAAACCACCGCTTTTGCTCACAAAGCTCATCTGGGTACCACTGGGCAAGCAGGATTGTAAAACCGTCCTTCAGTATTTCCATTTTAAAAGCTACCACCCACCTGGCCCAGCTAATCGCAAACTTACTTCATTCTCTGGTATAAAGGCACTTGGTCCTCTTGTCAATGGTGGGGAGACTTGTACTCTTTTTTCCTGCAAAACAGTCACATAATTCAGTCAGTGTCAGGAATATCGTATTAACTCGCTTTATCTTGCAAGGTGAGATCTTCAAGGCCTGGATTAGGTTCTCTTCCCAAGGCCACCTGGGTGTTTTACAGCCCACTGAGCAGGTGAAGCCATCACACCATGTTGGTTAGATCAGCTTTTCATCGCCTGTACTTTGAGCAAATGAACGGCACCAATTTTGGCAAGGGATGAGACAGAAAAAACCCAAAAACCTAATCCAGATTGGTTTATAGACCAGCTTGAAGATACATAGACAACAGCAATAAAACATTTGGCACGATGCTAAAATTAGCCATTTACTGGATTGAATGGAAGTTCAGAAAGCAGAGGAGGAAAAAAGCAACACTTGGGAAATTATAAGCAAGATGCTGTTTTCTTCAATAACATCTTATGAGATCCTCAGTGTTGAGAAGAGTGTAAGCACTTTGCGCGCCAAATATTGGCATGAAAAGCACAGTCCACGCAAACCAGCAAGACCCAATTAAAGACTTGTTCTAGAAACCCGACAAAAACGGCCGCCTTGCTCAGCTGCCGAGCCCAGAGGAGAACACCACACGTGGTACAAGCCTTGGTGTGCAAAGCCCAGCTAGAAGTCATGAAATGCCCTTTGAGGATGGTATATTTAGTACAGAACAGGCTGATAGCGTAACAGCGTAACAGAGCCAGAGGACTTTTTTGATTTATTAGGGGTAAGAAATTGTACTAAGGTAAACTGTGGAGGCTTTCACAACGTGGCCGCTGACAGCCAGAGGGGTGAAGGGGACCTTGGGGAGGCTGCCTGCTCCTCTGGTTCACCAGGGGCAGGACCAGCACTGTCCATGTCATTCATGACCAACGTTGGTCCAACCTCCTCTTAAAGACCCTCCTGGATGTTCCTCCCTCTCTCCAGGTCATTTAGTTCCTTGGATCTTTAGATAAAGTTTTCCTAATGTCTAACCTGAATTTCCCTTGCAGTAATTTAAAGCCATTGCTTCTTGTCTTTTCTTCTTTTCCTCTTTATGGTTGTATTCCACCTATCTGGAAACTATGGCTGCACACTTTCTCAAGTCCCTAATTGCACCGCAGCGTGAGTGACTCTTAATAAGTTATCCATCAACAGCCGTATTGGATTTGCATACTAAATATTTTGTGCCCCTAACACAAAAGTCCGAGGTTTTCCATAACAAATGACCCTTAAATACCTCTACCAGGGGGGCTTAAGCTTAACCGCCATGCGCACAAACAGCAGCGCCGGTCCCAGAAGGAACGTGCCACTGATTTCCACACAGGAAAATGAAGCCTCTGGAGCTGCGTAACTATTGTCCTGCTCCTTAAAAACATTCTGTCCTTTCTAAATTAGATTATGAAAAAACATGCAAAAATCAGCAGTGATTATTCAGGAAAGATGTTCCAAAGCAAACTCTCACAGGACAATTAGATTTGTGACTTTGGAATAATTAGCTGCTAAAAGATGCAGAAATAAGCTGGATCTACTGTGTGAAGCCCAGCAGCCAGGAGACAACTTACTGCAACCGCTGCCTGCTGTCACAGCCCCAAAATCCCATAAAATACTTCTTATGAATCAAATGTACTCAGTCTAAATTAAGAAGAAAGGGTGTAGAGAGACTGGGTATCTGCACATGCAACCCCTTCCTCGCACAAGCTACGCAAGGCACAGGAAGACATCTTCTAGCTTTAAATACACAATCTTGCTAGCAGCCAGTCATTTCTGCCAACATTAAAAAAAGAAATGCTTTCCAAGATTACTATTAAGGTTGCATTTTACTTGCTTTATGAAGGTTATCTGGATATTAGAGTTTAAAACCTTCATTTCATACTGAATAATCTGGAGGAAGCAGCTTGTGTGAGCGAGACAACTTGAATAGCTGCAAACTGTCAGCTCTTGCTGGAACACAGGTCTAAACCAGAGCTGAACCATTGCCTTCTCCATCTTGCTCTCTGACCTATACCCTGCTTCTTCAGGCTCTGCAAAGCTGGTTCTTGAGGCCAGACCAGGGCAAAAAAATGCATATGCTTCTTCTAGCGGGATATGGGCTGTGTTCCCGTGTGTCCCCATTCAGTGTGACTGCTATTACTCTTTTGACCCTGCAGATAAGCTACTGCTGAGAAGGAAAGGAGGAAACAGTACTTGCGTGGATGAATGTAGGCAAGTATCTCGAATTAATTCCTGTGAATGACGACAGAAAGCCAAGAAGATAGTCAGACTTAAAAAACGAGGTGTGTTAAATATACTACAAAACCCAGCTCCTTTTGGGTGGTGGTAGTTCCAAAAAAAACAAGCCTGGAAAAAACAAACAACCAAAGCAAAAACAAAAAAACAAAACCCGAAACATAGTAATTCAAGTTGGTGAGTCTAATCACAGCACACTTTCAGGGAGCTGGGTTTTTTCTGTAATTTAAATGTATACTCTTCCCTTCCATCAACACGGAAGATTACTTTGCCTTCATGCCAAAGCTTTTATTTTATTAAGACTGGTTAAAACAAGCTTGTCAGAAGAAAAGGAGCAAACATCATCTGGTTACACAAGTTTTCAGGATGCTATTAATAAAAACATGGGAAGTTTACAAGCATTAAGAAAGATAATGCTGGCTTTGCCGAATGGTAGATAAGAACCCCTGCTTCTGGGCATGCTTTATCTAGAGCAGTGATTTAAGGTCTACCCAAGAACCCAAATATGAAAAACTACGTATGGGAATTACAAAGCAACATTGCAGATATATGGTCCTTTACGGTGAAAGTTCTTGCAAAGCTTCCTATTTCCCAAGAAAGCGGGTTCGTTTTCCTGTCCAACTAGTCCTTGCTACCTATTGGTAAATCAGCCGGCGTCCCTAGTATCTTATTTGAAATTGGATTCTTATGCTAAGTGGCTGAAGCAAGAAACAGGTTGCTCAGCAACCAAAATGTCGTACACACATATACCAGCTATCTTCTGCTTCATGTTCCTCCAGAAACGCATTGCTGGAGTATGAATAAGTTACCTTAAAAGGTTTGCAACCAATTCCACTTACATTAAAACTAGAGCCTTTTTTGGGGGTGCTTCTTCGGAAGGAGAAAGATGACGAAGAGCTTCAAAGATAAGCAGAGAAAACTGAGCCCAAGCAGGTTACTGGGAGAGAGGCCACTGCAAGTCAGAGCCTTAGAAGCAGGTTTTGCAGTAGCACGCTGCGGCGTCAGACAGCAGAACAAGACCTCTCCAGACCATGGGAGAGCTGCTGCAGGAATTCATGAAAGAACAGGCCTGAGCAAGCTTTATCTGTGACTTGCTTTCTCTCCTTAAGCTGCACTTGGAACGGTGTTGGGAGCTAAATATCAGGAATTTTAACAGTGATGAAGAGGAATCATTTCCCATTTGCATGTCTATAATTTGCAAGAAACACCTTCATCCTTGGACGAGCCCTGCCCAAACCCCCCAGAGCCAAAAGCTGTGACTTGCCGTCTCATGGGTTTCTTTTTAGTTGTGGCAGGGACTGCGCACCTTCCCTCCAGAGCCAAGAGGCTGCGGGCACTGGGACATGGCATCTGCATCTCAAATAGCTGCCGGGCTGCCGCGGCAAAGGAAGGGATGCCAGAGCCACTCGGCTGGCAACATGGCTGTGAAGCCCAAGCGGGAGCAAGCACGAGCCCGGCCGGTGCTGCGGCAGCATGGCGGCTTTCCTCCCAAAGCCTAAAGCAGAAGAAATAACCCTTCTTCCTCTTCGCTGTCACATGAGCCACCATGTCCTCAGGCTTTAAAGAAATGACTATTTTTAGCAAGCTGTAAAAGGAGGCTGTTTTATTTGAGAATGGAGCCGCTAGCTGGTGGGGCTGATCGAAGAGCTGATTTGGGAAGTACTTTTGAATAGCCATGAACGCAGAAAGCACAGGCAAGAAGCAAGTGGTTGCACTGATGCGGGTATATGGGGGCTTCTCACACACGTGGTGCATAAAAGCTACTTCATCCTGAACTCGACATCAAGGTGGTCATGCTGAGACTCGGGGGG